CTTATACATATTATATATATATATATATATATATATTATACATATATATATATATATATTATATAAATAATATATAAATATATGTGTATATGTGTATGTATTCGTAATTTAGGTCTAAGTATTTATGTATGTATATGTATTATATACATATAACGAAAATATATTTGCATAATTGAGTTTGCGATTTACAATGTATGTGTTTGTATGTCTTGCTCTTGGTGAACTTGATCATAATTGATACCTCTCACGAATAATAGTTTCCTCCTTGTGTTAGGTGTGAGATCACAAACGTATAAATGTGTGATTGTTGTAATATATTCTCGTGCACAGAAGTTACTACTCTGATGCACACTGGTATAAGTTTACATCATTTGATCTCGGTGAATTTTAGTTGTGCATCTCATGTCGAATGTGATAAAAATAATTGTGATTGGTTTTCTCTCTTGACATTGTTATTCATTTTTGAATGTCCAAAAATACGCCACGTAGCTAGATTAAAATTATCCTATCATACTATCTTTGTTCTGTATAAACTCACTTGATTATGTACATTAGGTTGGACATTGAAAGTGTAGTGTATCAGATCGTGGATATAAAATCAAATTATGTATGATGTTCAGACAACCGTGTTTGTTTACGTCAACATGGCGATGACAGAGTTTCTTTGCACCCCAGCTAATAGCTCTTTTCTATCCTTCTCTGCTCACTTCAGGCTGCAATCTTGGCTTTAGTGGCGACGCTGAATGTGTGGTCGATATATCTCCTAGTACAATGTGAAAAGACCATTGCGCCCCGTTTAAATCCCCATGAGAGGAATCCGCGTGGCAAGTACTCGCAGATTGCGTACGAGGCCTTTGGCAATTATGGTGTTTGGTTGACAGACTTCTTCGTTGTGCTCACACTCATGGGTGCGGCCACTGCTTACTTCGTCTTTGTGGAGACGACTATGGTACACGTCGTGCCTGGGTATCCCGCCTGGTAAGTCATCATACGACATTGCATATAAATATATTTCTATTTCTATCTCGATTAATATTTCTATATATGTGTGTGTGGGTATGTATAGAGGTATGTGTGTGTGTGTGCGTGCGTGCGTGTGTGTGTATAATGTAGATAGTGTATATTATATGTTTTGTGTGTGTATTGTATATGTACGCAGCAGTGTCATTGGTGGCTGTTCTGTGATCTACTGTTTGCACAGATAGCTGTAAGAAAATGTCACGTTTACTTTTTATCAGCTGCCTTCGAGCTACATTCCGTGTGGTACTCTATTTGGCCTACTTAATTTCTGTCAAAATCAAGTTATAGCAGTCTAGTGGAATTTCAAGCAACCCCTTCAATTCTACGGGTAGATAATCCGGTTACACACGATTCGAGAGGACAGTGGGTATCTGAGGGTATTTCCAACCAAACTATCACTAGTGAATACGAAGTCGGCTAACGCATGCCTTTGCTCGTTTGTCTACTTTGATCAGGTTCTGGGTGATGGTATCCTATCCCGTGTGTATTTTGCTTGTGCTTCCCGACGATCTGCGCTACTTGGCACCCGTCTCCATTGTGGCCATTTTCTCCACCGTCATTGGAATGTGTGCCGTGTTCGCCTACGGAGCTACGCAACAAACCTTCCAGATCCCGGAAGACGCTTGGTTCAGGCCGAAGGGCTTGCCCCAGTGTTTTGGTCTGTGTGTCTACACTTTCGGACATCCGGTGATCATTTTCCCCATTTACGACCAGGTATGTCTACCGACGCTACGGTGCTGAGGCATGGTTTGAATTCTTAGTTAGTATGTATGCCCGTGTCTATGTATTGTACAATATACTTTACAAGCTTAGCGACTCGTAGTACCGCGGTTTGGAGAAGGGTTGTCCCAAGGTCACTCCAAACAAGATATGTTCTTTCAGCCCAAAAGATAGTTTTTCAACCCAAAATCTCTCAAATATATCTCAATAACACCTACAACTGAGGAGCCTCTCATTTCTACCCTTAATCCTGCTTCACATACTGATCTTTCTATCATTCTTCTCTCCAGATGAAGGACCGAACGACCAAGTTCATGCCCACCGTGAGTGTATCTCTGTCGATGCTGGTTGTGTGCTTCGCCTTTGTGGGTCTTTTGTCGGTCGGGTTCTTTGAGAGTGTGGGTGTGATGCAGAACTCTATTGCACAGCTCCCCTCAGGATCGGTAGCGTCTAAGATCGTGCAGACGGCTATGAGTATAGTTATTCTGCTGTCGTACCCGCTGACGATGTTTGTTGTGAACAAGGTAAGGCTTACTTTGTTGCGTGTAGACATTCAATGTTTGCGTATAGTGAGGTGCATGTTTGGCATGCCTGATCGCAGATCTCGCGACCTGGGAATGGGCTGTGCACGGCTGAAGTAGTGCACTGCGGGCAACATATTCTCGCAGTCTGGTTATATTCCATACGTACAATGAATGCAACTGAGAAAGCGCCCAACCTCACAGCCGCGATGGATAGACTCATTATGCGAATGTTCCCGACCAAACAAAGCCGCCCTATTGAGAAGTTGGACAATTTTGGCCGGCGAAATCTGCCCGCAAACTAGCCTGATATTATTCTAATGATTCTTTTTCGCACATTTTCAGATGGTTTTCCAATACGTCAGTGTTTGGGTAGGGACCGCTGATCCCAAACTAGACTATTTCGTGAGGATAGGTATGTAGCAGTCTTCGGACCTATTTTCATTTTGACACAACCTGTCGGTCTACATTGTCTGTATACGATCAGTTGTGGTGCATGTATATACTGCATTTATTCTTGTGCACGTATTGCAATCAAGGTTGCATGCTGCAACGCCCCTGTACATACCCACCTCATTGGGGCGTGCTTCCACGCCCAACCTGTATGCATTGTCTACACTCGGCATAATAAGGCGCACAATGTAGGCTATTCTCCCCCATACATGGCAAGTTGCTTTCAATAAATTTTTATTTATTTTTGGATTTGTTATCAGTACTCGTATCAGTTGCTGCCACCGGAGCGCTCATATTCCCTCACCTTGCGGATGTGGTGACCATCCTCGGATGCTTTACGATAACCTACTTGTGTTTCGTAAACCCCATGGGTTTCTACTACACGTTGCACAAAGACACACTGTCGGGGATACAGAAGGCCTTGCTTGGCTTTGGAGGGGTGCTTGGATTGTGCACGATTCTTTACACCACCCACTCAGCTGTCGTAGCGATGCTGAACCGGAAAGTTTAGGATAGACAGTAGTCCACACACACTGCTTTGTAAATGGATGTGTATAAACTAATTTAGATGTACAAATAAAGGCTTAGGAATGTCATGTCGCCGCTCGACCCGAGCAGGCCGTTGTGGGTGATGCATCCACTAAAAAAATTGTTCGCGATTGAGATGATTTGTTTGCAGATACCCAAGTTCAATCGTCACAAATTCTTCATCATATCTTACTTAGCACCTATCTGGCGAGTAAATTCTCGACTTAAAGTTGCGCTGATGCCAATCTTATTCGCTGAGGTACAGACCTCCTGTATATCGAAATGTCAGCCCTGGGCTCAGTATGTAATTATGTGTATCCACAGCAGTACTGTGCACCTTCTGTGGTTCCAGCACATATCTACAACATATACAACTGTTATGCGTACCTGTAGGTTTCTGGGAGATACTACAATACCAAGCCCCTCTTGATATACTTAAGCAATAAGTATTCAAGACAATCATTCCAAGGTCCCCTGTAAGAGTTCGTCCTTGAATGCTACTTTCAGGGTACTGTCACGCTAGGTAATGCGCGCTACTGAAGTTTATCTGCTTGTGCTCTGCTGGCTTTTCAAAGATATTCGGCCTCAATATCCTATTCTAACAAGTTGTATAGTTAACACATTTGTAAAAGTCTATCTAAGTGGAAATTTTTTTAACCCTTTGCACAGAGTTTTAGTATGAGGTCGCTAAGCAACCGCATCTATACTCTTGGAGTGCGCGCGGTAATCGCCAGAAAGCCAGATGATAGCTTGGCCAGTTCATTGTGTTAGACGACACGAGTCACATTCGAGGCTGCATTTTTATTCAAAGAGAAGCGTACTGGATCGGGGTTGTAGACGATTTCTACACCACTTCGCTATGCCAGCGCTGCAAGCCTGTGTGTGCAACACACAGAGTCGCGCCCAAGCACGGTATACTTTGCTAGTTGTATTTCTTTAATTGTCGAAAGCGATTTAGTTGTAACCCGTAGATATTCAAGCGTACAGGTTATACAGGGTTAAATTTCAATATTGACTAAAATATCATACGCATATCAAAACGATCGATGACAGCCAACTTAGTGCAAGCAGCAAGCAGCATCGCGTCAGCTGATTATCACCAGACCCTAACCGATTTGAAAGAATCTCTAGAAGTCCTTCTCACGCTAAAATAGATGCTCACATGTGTTGTACATTGTGGTAGGTAGAGTACATGCCATTGTTCGCCATTGTTTGCGAGTACCAACTATGGTAGCCTCTGATGAATCCGACTTTCGAAATAGACTTGTATATCGTTATCGACGAATTAAGGACAAGCCAGAACTCATACAGGTGTATGTGTGCAGGCTAGTGTGATATGCGATATTCAGCTTCCAGTCTTTCTCGCCTTGTGTTGGCCTAGGATTATCCTATTTACAACTGGCGTGCATGTCTATCCCGAACGCAGTTAGAAGAAGCTCAACTGTTGCCCCTTGGTAAACACGCATCTTGCCATGTTTTCAGAGCGTCTATATTATGTGCTTCACCCAGCTCTCTGTTATAAATCGCTCTGAATGTGCATACATACACTCCATTAGCTCCCCATTATCCCTTGGTAAATACTCGTCCTGCTATGATCTTCAGGGCGTCTCTATTCTTGAACTGTCGGGTGGGCCGACACACTACCGTATCACACGTAGGACACGCACACTCCCTCGTAGTATGGTCTTTCACTATCCGGGACAGCCAGCACTTGATTAGTTGACCGCCACCTTTCTTCTCGTACTTGTATAGTATGGTGCGACATGAATTGCAGAATATTGATATAACTCGACGTGCTCGCATCTCGGGTTCAAAGTACGATCTGGTTTGATTGTATCTGGATAAGTCTATTTATATATTTAATTATATACATAATTTTGTATAGAAGGCTATGTATATAAATATTTACTTTGTATTTACGATTTTGTAGTTTGTACGGTGGGCCCGTGTGGTGACTGGGTAATATAATCTCTTTATTCATATTTTTTTTTAAACAAAGTTGTTGTTGTCAGGTGTCACTAAGTACATATATAGAAGTATGTAGTGTCGTCAAATTTCGACACTTAAAAGTTGCCGATTGCCGAATGCCGACTGCCGACTGCGAGTGCCGACTGGCGGGCGAGACTCAAGTTCTCAACTCCCCTTCTGCTGAGAATGTACTTTCTGAGTTCACTGTTGATATCACAATTACATCGAGGCATCGTGAAACTTTAGATGGCAATACAATATATGTGTATGGGCATGCAACCAACTGGTATAGTAGTATTAGGAGAAATAAGACATGCATGCGTACATACAGACTTCTATGTGGAGGTGAGGCGGTATGTACTTTCAATTCGGATGGCCGCAGAGCTATAGCACCGGCGATAGCGGTGAGGTACAACTACAATGTCTGAAGTTCTCCTGTGATCGACAGTTACTGGTGACGGTCTCTTCTAACCGTATTCACTTGTGGACAGCACAGGTAGGTCAAATAACAATCCGTGCACCAACATCGCTCAAAAATTCGACAGCTTGGTTCAGATGCCTATGTATATAGTTATTATATATATATATATATGTGTGTGTGTGTGTGTGTGTGTGTGTGTGT